CACTCCACTGTCTTTCTGAAAGGCTATCAAGAGGCTCGGTGCTTTTACGCTCATTCAGGTATCTTCCAGTGTCAATTCGCTCGATATCATCGCCGTTCCAACCGATATATCGGAATTCTCTTTTCATCTGTAACCATAGCTCGCATTGTTTGTAAAAATCTTCACTCTTTCTAACAGGTTGGTTCAATCGACAGGACCAATTCGCGTTCATAGAACAATTCTTGAATATTCGTTTCAGATCACACATTTTCCCTTCGCCGTTTCCGTCCCTCCATGAAATTCATTTCTGGATATAACGGAGAAAGTTATAATGTTTATCAGCAGCACTCGTGGTAACGATCATTTTTTTCGAGAAACATTAGCCATTACGTTTATCGGCGACCAAACCGCGATGCAGAGTTTTCAGCGACGGAGAATCATCCGATTGCCAAGAGTCATTCACGCGACAGTTTTTACTTTCTTTTCATTACTGCAGAAGACAACATTTACATTTAGGCTTCTTCTTTAAGGTGACGTGTTCGACCTGCGAAGCGTCGCCTGGTCCCTGCGCTGTCATTCTAGCGACTTCAACGGTAGCTGCTCTCGACGATGTGACAACCTGTGTTATTAATAATATTTCGTTAATCTTTTAAATATATAAGTGCTAATTGAATTAATTAAAAATAATTAATTATAATTAAACAATAAATTAATTAATATTTTACAATTGTAAAAGATTCAGGACCGAGATTTTGCATTTATCCAACAATGATATTGAAACACTTCTCTTGATATAATGCAAAGAAAAGTCAGAATTTGTTTATTTTTTTTTTTTATATAATATAAAAAAGTAGAATAAATGAAAGAGAATAAAGTTAAAAATCATAGTGTTTTTTTATCTATGAGACAATATAATGTCATTTTTTTTTATTTTTGAATCTTTTTACATGAAATGTTTATCAATGAAATATTTTAACGAAAAATTTTCTTGATCAAAATAAGATCAAACGTAATATAATTTGCATTTATATTTATAGTAGTGTTTGGACATATGATCACGAATTTGTTCGCTTATTTGATCAGGACTATTCCCATCAATTCCTAGAATTACTGGTTTGAAGTAGAACTTGTTATTTATGACTCGCATCGGTATGTTTTAATAACTAGTAAATTAAATTAGCGTAAAATATAAATTAAATATTTACTTATCATCATAAAACGAACTTGATGGAATTTTTAAGATCAATTTTTAAGATTTTAAGATCAAAATGATAGTTAATGTGATTTTTAATATTATTTTTGATCGAATCTTGATTAATTAAATTTAATTTTCGTATCATTTATGATTTTATATTATTTATTTTATTTTTATTTTACAAATAATATACAAAAGATATTAAGTACAACTGTAATTTATATTAATTTTAAATAATTATTTTTTAAATATTTTATTTCATATTTTTTAATAGAAATTAAACAAATAAATATTAAGATTAAAAAATTATTACTTAACTTGATTGTTAATATATTCTATATATTTTGTCTCACTCTATTTCTCACTCTTACGCTTGATGCAGTAGAAAAAAATGAATGAAAATCGGATAATTTTTAGAAATTCACTTCTAGATATATAATCTACCAATATAATATCTATGAATATCTAGATATATTTTCGGATGCTCTAAATTTTATTATGTTTAATACATAAAAAATGTTATTATCATACATAAATATATTTGATCTTATTTTGATCACAAATATATTGATAATTTCATTTAAAAAAAAATTTTATGGATATTTGATTTTAGATCGGATTATATGGTTGGCACATCAAGTTGCAATGTATCATAAAATCCCTATATCATAGAATGGTGAATTTTTATAGTTATTTTTGCTATAGTCAATATTATCAATATTATCGACAAAAATTATATTACAAGCCATTAACTTGTAAACTTTATTTCAATTCAATGACACTTAGATAATTTAAGTAATTTGCAAACATAATGGTATAATATTTTAACGCATATATAAGTATATGAGTTAATTAATCAAACTGCATGAAATGAAAAAAAGTGAAAAGGTTAGTTACCTTATCGTTGACAGGCTGCTGACTATTCGCGGTTGCAGCTTTCATCGGAGTTCCATGGGCGTTTCCATTCTCCTGCCCAGGTTTCGGCGAAGAATTCGCATGTCGATTCGTAGAATTCGCAGAGGATTTTAGCAAGGGACTGGAACTGGAATCGTGATCAACAGTAGTTTGCGCGTTGTCGGTAGTATCGCATCCTGGCAATGGTGGAGCTGTCTGGCCAGGGGTCGGAGTGATAGGTTTTCCACCTTTTATCAATTCCACTATCTCGTCAGCTTCCCTCGAAAGGTCACCGTCTGGTCTGAATGGATTATCCCAACCACTATCCGTGCTGGAAATGAATTTTTCCCTGTTAAATCTTCATCTCCTAAATTAGGTTCAAAATATCAAATTTTACTCGGCACTCTCTCCGTTTCGCTGATCATTTTACCGATGGTAAAGTAGATATCTAAAATTTTTAGTCACGTGATAGAAGTTAGTCATTGTTTTATAACAAGTGAATAATTCGTTCGTTATTTTTGTCTATTATCTTCAGTGCATGAGTTAAATTAAGTTTAATTATGATTGCCATTTAACCGTAACATTGACCACGATATCGGATTGCACCTAATTATAATTTATATTCCTAACCTCTTTTAGTATTGCACGTGTACAATACGTGAACATGTGAATCGTTCTCGAGAATTAATGGAAAGTATTCAACAATTTATTACCAATTAACAATCTATTCTTTTTTGATTCATTTAATAGCACCATATAACATATCAAATAAAAGGTATTTTGAATATCAAATGAATTGATTTTTTTTAGAAAAAAAATTTTAATTGTACATTAAATGTGAATTTACACAAAATGTGATTGTTAAAAAGAAAGACAAATAATGGTACGATGAAAAATGAAGAAATGGAAAAATAAAATAACTAGACGGATATTCGATAAGAAAGTTGAAACTGCTAGAATTGTCGGAAATCATTGGAATATGGCCAACAATTCGATATTGTGAAACAAAGTGTCGATTCTTTCGCTTTCCCAGTTGCGATTAATCTTGGATTGCATTCCATTGCATTCACTCAGAGAATTTCACCATCTTAAATGAGAAACAACCTATCTTTCACGTCCAAGAAAAAATTGCGTTAAAAGATTTTTATTTTTGATAATTCATTAATGATACAAAATGATATTTAGTTTTTTTTTAAAATGTTAATATTCAAATATTTTTTTGTATCTACTTTTTACATATATATATGTAAATAATAATATCGAAATATTTTTAAAATTAATCTATAATCCAATTTATAATCCATAATTTATAAATCCAAAGCGATTTTATTTGCTACTGAATCACAAGGTAAGTTTTAAACCAGTGAAATTTTAAAAAGGAATGGAAAATTTTCGATTGAAAACAATGAAAAATTGGCCGAATTACAAGAAATGTATCATTTTATTTTTGAACTGTCATTGGTATGCTGCAAATATGTACGTATACATACAATAGTATTTTTACAAATAGAAAAATACTTTTCTCATTCAATTAAATTAATTTATCATAAAAAATTAAATTTTTATTTTTTATATAATAAATTAAGCTTAAAATTAGTTTAACATTTAAATTGATAAATAACAAATATTATTTGACAATACATTTAATTGCTAAAAAATAAATTACAGATTTATGAAATTGGATGGATTCCGAAAAAATCGGAAAATGAATTCGAGTGAATATAATCTGGAAATTCAAATATCTCCGAATCGGTCGAATCAAAGCCATTCAAATCCTCGTAACCAGGTAACTAGCGATTTTCGATTGTCTCTAATACTTGCTTAATCCCGCCTGAGTCCATCTAATTTTTTCATACTTGCCCTAATTTCAAATATTGAGTATCTGCACGCTCTTAGAAATCATATATTAATATATTCTCATTTCTAGAAATGGATCTATATTTTCCAAATCTCAACAACTGTCTGTTCAACTATTCAATGAATTATGGTAAGCTCATTTTCTTTAAAAATTTTTTTAATCTACGCAATATTTTACTTCTTTATATCTTTCTTACAGATCGAGGATGGTTTTGAATTTTCACTTCTCACAATATCGCACAATCCAAATAATAAAAAATAATATAAGCTCTCTCACAATCTCTCAATTAATTAATTTCAATTACATTAAAAGCAGCATGAGTTGAAGATCGGTAAATTAGAATTATTAGTCGAGAGCTCGTTTGTTTTCAAGACGATGATTACCTTTCATTGCCATCCGTTTCTTTAGGCACCTTGATCACGTAATACACGTGGCCTCCGTGGGTGGTCGTCATTTTGCTCGCGCTCGCGAATCCACGTCGTACGATATCAACATCGGACACGTCCAAAGATCCGAGAGATTAATTCTGCCTACTCTCTCGCGCTATGTCTCGAAGCAGGCACTTTTACACCTGGACATCGCATCGATTATGACGTAATTGTCCATTTTATCGTATTATATTTTTTCCTCAATGTCTCTCAATGTTATACTCTTCAACAACGTCTTCCCTAACGATCGAAATTATATTTCCTCGAAATATCTGTCTCACGGAAAGAGCTCTCCTGTGATTTCACATCAACCAACTCGAATAATAAGATTTTATTTTTAAGCGGAATCGTGGCGGGAGATCATTGCAACTATTTCTCACTATCTTTCTCTCCCACGTACGATTTTCCCCTTCCCGATCCCATCCCTCCTTTCTAGTTTCTCTTTCTCCGTTTGTCGCGGAACTCATTGACGCAACTCATTATTTCGAACTACTTTCACGATATACAATATTTATTCGTTACATTCTCTTTTTACGAATATATATATGAAGTAAAACGAGTAATTTTACAACGATAACGATACAATATAAATTTCTTCAAATGCTTGGTGCTCTCTTTTGCTAAATCATCCCTACCTTATCGACAAAAAAAATAAAATAAATTTTCATGTCTCTCGCAGATACACGATGTATATTTACCGGTTTCGAGTTATTTAACGAACGAAATACTGGGTCAAGAAAGTTCGAATGGATGGATGGATGGGCGAACGATGCAAATTTTCCAACTAAATCGCAACTCTGCTCGAGCATTTTTAGACCGTGAGGAATGGCCGTTTCGACGTTGCAAACAACTCTGGAACTCGATCTCAGAATAAACTCTGGTATGATGCCTCTTGAAAAAAAGAAGGAAGAAAAAAAAAAACAGCACGGAGTGTGTCACCACGTACGTAAATTTCGCACGAAAATCGCTCGGAGATTGATGTTATTTTTTTTCTCCGCTCGAATGAGAAACAAGGATGGAGAATCCTTAGATTTGTTTCGACGACGATTATAATGAAACGCGTAAGCGCTTTATCGATCCGTTTCAATCGAAGTTGACCTATTTCCTCCAATGTCCTCGACCTATTTACTCTAATTCCCATGTTGTCTGTCGCCATCTGTCCCCCTCTGTCCTTAACGCTATCAACAAGAAGTTTATCCCGTTTCGTGATGTGTCGTACGTGCGTGCATGTGTGTGTGTGTGTGAGAGAGAGAGAGAGACGTTTCTCTCGTTTTTTTTTGCTATTAGTCGATTCGTTTGCAACAAGCAAAAATTATATATGGATTTTTTTTCTTCCAAAGCGAAATATGACGAAAAATTAAATCAAGCTTCAATGGATGGACGATAGCAACAGTTTTTTTTATTATCCGTGGGCAATTAATTGTGCAACTGACATGAAGAGGTGAATGCGACTGGCATCGATCCGATTCTGTTTATAACCGTATGTCGAGTACATATGGCTTCCAGACTAGTCAATTCTCACCAAATGGTACGAGATAACGAAGTTGTACTGTGCACGATCTGGATACTCTTGCTCGATGTTTATCAAGTAGTAATATTGGTAACTATTTTAACAAGTTATTATAATTTATAGGTTATAAACTTTTCTTATATATAATTTTACGTTAGAATAAATAGAATAGAAGATTCTTTCTATTATTTAAAAGAGAATTTAAGTTATTCCATAATTTTACATCAAACAATAAGTAAACAATAAGAGTAAATAAATTTAGAAATTTCTTAATTCATACTTAAATCTCATTTACTTCGTTATTTTAGCTATTATGAAAGTTAATATCAGGCAAATTGCAATTTTTAAAATTTCATTGCTAAAATATTATTCGATCGTGATATCATAGTGATCGTTAATTACGATGAACAAGTTACCGGCAGAGCTTAAAAATACCCTTTTTATCTTTTGATCACTTTTCATCAGGTGAAATAATTGCTTCGATATCTTTACCTTCTGATGTTATAAATAACGATGAGTTCGATGCTCCAAGTTAAATATATCCTATCGATATTTTCCTACGTAAAGAGAACGATATTTTTTTTTTTTTCCCTCCGAGAAAAATTAATTTCACCTAGTACGAGTACTATCCCGTGTAATTGTTGAATGAACGAATAATTTCACATCTTCAAAATGATCGTCGATATTCAATAGAACTTGAATAAGAGCAACTCTCTGAGAGTTTTACTCTTAAATCTATTCGTATCCCAATGAGATTTTTATAATCGCTTTTTAACTTATGCCAAAGAATGCGAATATATTTAATAAATAATATACATAACAATAAAACTCTCGAAAGTTTATTTTTATTACTGTGTTGAGAGCGAAACTTGTTTTCAGAAACGCGATAGCCTACTTGTGAGAAATACTTTCGACAACAGTTTCTATCGTCAAATGCATTTCGTATCTTTTTAGAATTTTTCCAAAGTTTCCCTAGGAGTCCCTAGGGACTTCTAGAGATCTAGAGATCTCTAAAAGTGTAGGAAGGAAAGTTTCTTCGAAACCTGCAAATCGAAAAATTTGATATTATTCTTTGATTCTCAGAAAATTATTTATATATGTTTATTTTTTTTTTTTTGATTTTCAAAAGTTCTGAAAAATTTTTTTTTTTAAAATAATAAACGCGATACGAAGAAATTCGAGAAAAGAATTCCATTGTTCCGGATTGAAGTTTAGAAATTTTATAGTTAAACGTTTTTCGTTGGAAGCAATTTGCTTAGACGAATTCGTTATTTCGAGCAATGACATTTTCACGATCCTGATTAACGAGTGTTACGACCTTCCTGTTACGACGTTCGCAACCACTCCTTCCTTCTCACTTAAAATATTATATCTACTAGAAATCTAAAGAAATTGTATTATTTTTTTATACCATCTTAAAAAAGAATAATCTAAATTTAAGTTTCTTTAATAAATTTTTTAATTGTTTATATAAATGAAATTCTAATAAATAATTCTATATAAATAATTTACAAAAAAAAATGGCAAAAATAAAA